GTCATCCGACTGACTAACTAGCCATGACCTACTATCTTCGTACGCAGCAACTTAAATCTTTTCCATTTTCGGACAGATCTAGCCCACCCACCCCATGGATTTCACTTTACGCTTTGACCTTTGTTCCATGATCTTACCCCTAATCGCGTCGACCAGCTGAGTAATGGGAAGGTAACGAGCTTCTCTAATCCAACTGTTGAAAGACTTGGCAGCATTAAATCACATCTCGCCATACCTACGTCCCCTACATAACAATTAAAGTAAAATAAAATAAAATTAGATCCGTAAAGATTTAGTGGTTGAAAATATATTGAGTAATGTATATGTTAGTAGCATGATGCCTGAAGTATGCATTGGACCAATGTTGAGGCTCCAAATCTTTCAGAAAATTGCCAACTACCACTGGGCTACATTGTAACAAAATATCTATTTTTTTGGTTGAAGGAATTAACTGTAGGGACGTAAGCGCATTCACGCAACTTCCGTATGAGTCCATTTTTTTGATCAGCATTAACGTATTTCATGCGGTCTCGAAGATTCATCTGCAGATGTAGTAGGCAAAATGCATGGTGTGCAGTTGGGAAGATGGTACGCATCAATTGTACCAACCCCGCATTACGGTCAGACACAAAAGTTAAATTCTTGGAACAGTCTATAACTTTGGACAAATGGCGCAAAAACCACTCCCAGTTACATGTGTTTTCAGAGTCGACAATAGCAAAAGCGACGGAGAATAAGCCTGTAGAAGATGTGTTTATGTAATGTATAAGTCAATAATGAGTTCGTAATGGAATGTAAAATTTAGGGAAAAAAAATAAGCAGGAGCTTGAAGATAATGTTGTGGTGTTTGAAATTAGTATAACACAACCATGAAACTGTACAACAAACCATTTAAAATATAAAAAATAGCATACCTTGGTTCCCATCTTTAGCGGTCACCGCGAGCAACGTACCCTTGAATCTTCCTTTCACAAATGTACCATCCAAAAATAAAAGTGGACTACAATTGTTGAACCCATCAATGCATACACGAAAAGCTATGAAATACCTCACGAAGCGTCCAGTTTGTTGCTCGAAGTCCAATTCGATATGACTATGTGGGTTATTTTGCATAACGGCGTCGCTGTACCACTTGAGTTGGTCGAACGACATATCATGATCACCAAATACTTCATTACACGCTTTTTCCACCCCTAACCAAGCAACCCGATAACTAATGTCTAACCCATAGCCATCTTTCATGTCGAAAACCACGTCGGTTGGACGTTAGCGGTTGTTCACGCATGCGACATGCGATAACGTCAGAAACCAAATCTGACCCCGTCCGTGGGTTTCTGTATGTACGTACAGCAGCGCTACAAGAATGCACAGGGTTGAACCTTTTCAAACAGAAAATCCCATTTGAAGCAAACACCCTTGAGTGAATCAGCCATTCACACCTCGTTGACATTGCGAACTTGCATACGGCAGTTACACGGACTGAGTCGTTCTTCACGTACTTAAATTGAAAACCATATTCAACGGTGTACTTGCAAAGTACCGTCCGAAATTCATGCACACCCCCAAAAAAAGATTGGCCAACATTTGTGATACCAAACGCCCATCCAGCAAACAAGAACGTCTTCTTCTTATGGGTAGAATAGTCCGATAACAAATCAGTACGGTCCTCCATATCAACCGTCTGCCAATCCGTAGTGTTGCTCGGACCATCATGGGGGGACCCTGCTAAACCAAGTTGACTGTTACTGCTTGGCACATTATTCTGCATTTGAATTAGCACGTCAGTATGATCAAAGACTAAATGACTTGGCAAGTGACAACATGTTTTGCACATCATCGTTACCTTCAACCTTAAACTTGTTGTACCCAGGAATGGTGAACATAAAATAAACCAAACCCTGGTCGGAAATATCAAATTTGTTACAAAAACTATCAACCAACTGAGCATATGTGAATGTTTGGCAGATACGCAACACCGCATTTGTCTTACCGAACGTACCCACCAACAACACCGCGAAGTCTATGCCTGACAGAGAAAACCACATTAAAAGCTGGGGAAAAAAAATACCCATATTTACGGGTTTGCAGATCGGAGAACGTATCCACTGAATATTTTAAAGCACCCACAAACACATATGGGTGTTGAATCTACCATTATTGGGATTAAAAATCGCTTCACAAGTGGAAAATATTTTTAAGTGATTCGGATATTTAAAACACCCCCAAACATTAAGAACTGATAGTAAGTCAGGGGAAACATTTGGTAGAACATTCTACCATGCCTAATGTTCGAAGGAAAGCAATCTGTCATTCAATTACACATTCACATGTAGACGACATCAGTAGAATAAGAGATATATTACAAAACCATAACCAATGTTCTATCGTGGACAATGTTTACTCTAAACTGGGAAAATAAAACACACAACAGAAAAGACCAGTAGAAAACTACTGTCCACAGTAGCAAAATGTTCCTGTTTGTGGTTTAAATCTACACTTTGAATGTTTAATTCAGCGCACGAACATCAGAACAATTGGCCAATGAAAACGCAACCACCATTCACAAACCCCCCAGACAGTAAAACACCCCCCCAATCCACCATTGACAAACCCCCACAAACACATATTCGAACATTATAAGAAAACAGTCCCCCATTGCCAACCCATCCACGACACATTACAAAAACCCAGCCATCATTGACAAAATCGAACATTAACAAAAAAACAACAACCCAACTTACCCATCCCAAACCCACATCACCTCCCCAAGTTATAGTGGCACAAAACATAACAAAATCAGAACACATATTACACCCACTAATAGAAAAATCAAATCAACAAAGAGTGAATTGAAAAACAACAAAAGCAGACCCACTGTTTCGAAGCAGAAGATTTGAACAGAAACTCCCAAAAACCATACACACCACAAAAGCGTATTCAAACACAACACAAACACCACTGGAAAAACACCACAACATCCCCTCATCTCATCCCGCAGTCCACGCACCCCCCTCCTTCAAAAAAGGAATGTTATCTCATACCTTACCAAACCAATAGCAACAAAAAAATCAAAAGAATATGAACAAAACAGTCAAATACATATACAATACTTTTAAAAAAAAATCATACCAAAAATAAAAAAAGACTAAATGGTTTTAAAAAAAACACTGAGGACTATATAGAGCAACATTTCTCCACATGGGATTTATGAGTAATTTTTCCATGAGTTTATATTAAAATTAAAATAAAACTATATCATTTTTTAATGTATGATTTTAATATTATTTTATTTTACTTTTAAACTTAAAATTTTAGATTAGGTAATTTACTATAACTCAACAATATCTATTAACAAAATGGAATGTGTTTATAAGATACTAAAATGGGAATAAAATTTCTCTAAAAAGATGAATAAATTTTATTTTATTTTTCACTCTTTGATAAAATTTATATAAGTTGCTTTTAGACGTATGAATGTTGTTAATAATTTTTTAAAATGTTTTTAGCTAAAAAAAGTTTAAAATTACTTCACAAATTTTATTGGTATAAAAGTTCTGTTTGGTTTATTTTTAGAATCACGATTTAAGTGAAAAGTTGAGTTTTGAAAATAGAGTTTTTAAAATGAGTTTTGAAAAGTGAAAACTTATTTAATTATGAGTTTAAAAAAAAAATTTGAGTTGTATTTTGAATTGTTTTGGATTTATTTTTTTATTTTTATTTTTTCAAGGGTAAATATTTTTTATTGTAAATTTTTATTTTATTTTTTTAATGTGCGCTGTATTTACTATATTTGTACACTGTATTTATTTAAAATATTTTAAATTTTTTTTAAGTTTTATTTTTTTTTGAATCGTTCATATGTATCTAAATCATACCAAATTATTTGGCCAATACTTAAAAACATAACAAAATATTTTTTGAAATTTTTTAAAGATCTTTGGTATTAAGATTTTATAGAATAAATGATATGCAATATTTTTTTTTATAGTAGTTAGGGTCACTCAACATTTTTTCAGAGAAATTTCAATCTAGAGAAATTTCAATCCAGAGAAATTTCAAAACACAGATAAAATGTGAAAACACAGAGAAAAATCAGAGAAATTGAGTAAATCAGAGAAATTTCAAAACACAGAGAATTTTGTCTAAATTTATCAGTGCTTTGAAAATTCTCCAGTTTGAAATTTCTCTGATTTGCACACAATTTTCTTTGTGTTTTGATCAAACCAAAGAAAATTACAAACCAAATATACAGAGCAACCCTCATTCACATAATCTTCCCTTAAAAGTTCATTTCCTATCTCTGTTTTCCATTCATTGATTGAAATTGCTCTGTTTAGGTTTGTAGGGATCAAGCTAGAAAAATCGCTCTTGGCTACGCTTACGTCAATTTCGTCTCTTCGTCATATTGCTTCTTCGTCATGAACAGATTCAGATCATCATGAACAGATCGCCTCTCTGCCCGAGTGTTTCTCCGATTACACAATTCCCACGTGACTGCGTGGTTAGCGACTTTGATTTCTTTAAAAAAATTTTGGATCGTCCATATATATCTAAATTATAACAAATTATTTGACCAATACTTAAAAAAATAAGAAAATATTTTTTTTTGAAAAAATAAAAAAATAATTTTAAAGGACAAAATAAAAAAAGCTTAAATTTTTTATTTTGTTTTCAAAATAGAATTTTAAAAAGAGTGTTTAGTTAGGAGTTTTGAATTTTTTTGATTGAAATCATAATTTTAAAATTAAATCAAATGCTAGCTAAATTTTTTTAGTAATTATTAAATGCATTAATTATTTTAAATTTAAAATAAATATATAAATAAGCAATTAATAAAAAAAATTTCCAAATCCCACATAAATATCCATACGCTCTTTAACTGCGCGTAGAGTGAACACACTCCTATATAATTAACACGCAAACACCGTTATCTCTAACTTCAAGTAACCTTTGCAAAACGTCAACACCGTCACTGCGTACACAGAGTCCTTCACGCCACCGCCTTCAATAAATACCAAACAAACCCAGCCAACCTACACCTCTCTCTCTCTCTCCATCCATTACAATTTCATACCCAGCGAGCAAGCAAGCACACAGATCAGTGATATTTCTAGAGAGAGAAAAAGATTTTTGATTTCTAGAGAGAGAAAGGAGTGAAGAAGAATGGGGAGTAACCCTAAGGGAAGAACGGTGATGGAGGTCGGAGCTGATGGAGTCGCCGTCATCACCATCATCAACCCTCCCGTCAATTCCCTCTCCCTTGATGGTACTCTCTCTCTCTCTCTCTATATATATATATATGTCACTCACTTACTAGATCTGATCATCCCACTTTTCACTCCCTTCAAGTTTGCTTCATGGGGTACCTGAATTTTTGCTCGATGCGTACTCAAATCTATATCAATTTTAGATTTGGGTAAAAATCACTCAAATACCTCTCCACTCAAACTTGTATCAAATTGAGTTTTGCCTAAATTTTTACTCAAATCAAGGAAGACTCAAATGTTTTGAGAATAAAATGTTTACTCAAAAATTCCAAGTCCATTTTGTAGCTTTCAAATTTACAACTCCGCCAGGTGTAATCGGTAATATTGGTTTTATTATTTTGAACACAGACCGTTCTATCATCAAATCGCACCGAACCCATTGAAACGGTTTAATTCGGTGCAGGTTAATTGGTCTTGGAACTTTTAAACTTGAGCCACACTTTTTAGTAGAGGCACTAATGTATGTAAAACATTGAATTAATTATTTTTCCATCCCTTCAAACATATACAATACAATCTATTTTAATAAATACTTTTCAATTCCTAAATTAACAAAAATATAAATAAAAAAAAGTTATAAAATATTAAGGCTTTATGAATAATGAGTTAGAGTTAAATGATTATATATAATAAGAGTTTATAAATTTAGGTTATAGAGATGATAAAGTTAATTGATTAAGGTTAATAATTTGTTATATTTATTAATATCATTATATTATTAGATTATATATATATATTATAAATACAATACATGTTGAAGTGGTCGGTTTTGGTTTAGTTTGGTGCACAACTTGCTTGAACCGATACCGAACAAAAAATTGAAAAAAATCAATTAAAAAATTGCACAGATTGATTCTTGCTAAAAAAAGACTATATAACTAGTTCGGTCCGGTTCAATCGGTTTGATCAGATTTTTTGATTTTTCTTACATCTCTAGTTTTAAAAATGATTTTGTTCATTAGAGCTTCAAATCAAAATAAAGTTTTTGGGTAGGGGCTGAAGATGGCCTTAAGATAAATTTGTTTTGCACACTGAAGTCAGTTTTGCCCTAAAGCTTGACTTTTTTTGGTAGGTTTTTGGCTTTTTAAGAAAAGGGGTGCAAACAAAATCGAGAGAATGAGTTGATTTTTTGTATTGGATTTTTGGCTATTTTAACCGATTGCCAAACATACCCTAAGTCTATTTTATTTGTAAAATTGCTGTAATTTGACTTGTATCTGAAAAAATTGTTGGGACCTATTACTGTGCTATGGATTCATTGCATTGTTTGCAGAAGTGACTATTTAATTCATAAAAGGTAATAATTTGAATTTGAAAGGAAGAGTAGAGTAGGTTAACTAAAGATTTACTTGATTGTTTGGCACCTTGGAAGTAATCTATATGCTTTCAGCAGCCAAAATCAAGAAGCGATTAGTCTCAAATGCAAAAGAATTACTTTTGATATGCTAAATAAATGGTTTAAATTAGAAAAAATGAATCTGGGAACTCAAGGAATCCTAGGAATGCTGCAAATTACTAGCAATCTAGTGTGAGAAGTGATTGATTTCTCTAGGTTTTTGGAGATGTATGATTTTTTCAATAAATAGATGTTGGATATGGTTGATTTCTATTTATTCTGAACTAGTGGTATAACTCCACTCTCTCTACTCTTCCCTTTTCATTTTTTCAGTATTACAGAGCCTGAAAGATAGTTTTGATCAAGCCTTACGAAGAGATGATGTGAAGGCAATTGTTGTTACTGGTAAATGTGTAGAGATCATGGCTTATTATTTTGTTAAGAATTGGAGATGGCTACGAAGCTAATAATTTATGTTATTGGAGCAGGTGCAAAGGGCAAATTTTCTGGTGGTTTTGATATAACTGCTTTTGGTGGATTCCAAGGGCGAAAGAGTGTGTATTGTTTAATCATTTATGTGTTTGATATTCTTGTGCCATCACTTCTTTGCTAAAATTCAAGTTGTATTTGTCCACAGTTCCAGCACCAAAACCCGGTTTTGTATCAGTAGAGATTCTTACTGACACTGTCGAAGGTATATTGTTGGGTTGTTTCATCCTCCTCTCTTTCTCTCTCTCCCTCAAGGTTTTTTTATGGTCATAAAAGTTTGTGTTACTTATTTTCACGGTTTCTCTCTCTCTCAGCTGCAAGAAAACCTTCAGTTGCTGCTATTGATGGCCTCGCCTTGGGTGGAGGATTAGAGGTTGCAATGGTATGTACTGCTTCATGTTTTGGATAAGACCTGTTCTCTTAAATTCATGTAAAAATGATATTTGTATGTTTTCTCTGTCAGGCTTGCCATGCACGAATATCTACTTCGAGTGCTCAACTAGGCTTGCCTGAACTTCAGCTTGGGATAATTCCAGGATTTGGAGGTATAGTTTTTTGTTTAAATGCAATCATGATAGCTTCCAATAATATGCTTCTTTTTGAAAAGAATAAGTCGTTGGAATGGATGCTAGTTCAGTGGAACCGTATTAAATTCGGATTCAGTTTTATGTATTCAGAACTACCACTTCAACATGTAGAAAATTTTAAGGTTCATAGTTGTGCGAAATTTTTTATTTCTGCATAACATGGAAATGGGACATGTAACATGAATTTAAATAGAACTTTTGAAGTTACTGTAATTGCCTTGTTGTGATGCATTTTGTTGCATCACCTTGTTATATGTCAGCATTGTTGCTGTGCTGTTTATAACATCAAGTGTGACTGAAACCTGCTTTTTCTTCATCTGGATGTTCATTCATGCTCCTAAATTGTCTTAGGTACACAGCGGCTTCCACGCCTTGTTGGCCTATCTAAGGCCCTTGAAATGATGTTGGTATGCTGTGACTTGCTTTGCACTTTCTTACTTTTATAAAAGAATTATTCTGCAGTAACTGTAATCTTCATATAGTATTTTCTGATCTCTAATAGATGTCAAAGCCAGTTAAAGGGGAGGAAGCCCTCAGTTTGGGTCTAGTGGATGCCATTGTCTCACCTGATGAGTTAGTAAACACTGCTCGTCAGTGGGCCCTAGATATTTTGGAGCGCAAGAGACCATGGGTTGCCAGCCTGAACAGGACCGATAAGATAGAGCCTCTTGGTGAGGCAAGAGAAATACTCAAGTTTGCTAGAGCTCAGGCCCGAAAACAAGCTCCCAACCTCGAGCATCCAATAGTTTGCATTGATGTTGTTGAAGAGGGTATAGTTTCTGGTCCTCGTGCTGGGCTTTGGAAGGTTCTGAACTGTCCCCAACTCCCTTTCGCCTCCTTCAAATTACTGCTCGCATGTAATAATATGACTCTTATGTGTGATATTGGCAGGAAGCTGAAGCTTTCCAGGGACTTCTGCAGTCAGATACTTGCAAGAGCTTGGTCCACGTCTTCTTTGCTCAACGTGGAACCACAAAGGTATGATGAAGTCAAGACTCTTATAATTGTTGCCATTTCGTTCATTGCTGAAGTTAGCTTGTGCAATATGTATACTAACTTCCTAGTCCTCACGTTGAAGTGACGCTTGAAAATTTAGTTTCTATTACCCTTCTGTCACCAAAATCAATTTGTAGATGCATGGTGAAATTTGAAGAAGTTTGCTATTTCGATACCAAAACATCAACTTAGTTTTATGTGGATTGCTAAGTTTGGGAAAGTAGAAAATTGTGGTTATTATTTTCATGTTCATGCTGGTGCTGCTTGAGTTGGGTGTATCAGGCGCAAGTAGGAAAACAGGTGCTGCTGCTCAATGAACCATTAATGGAGTTATAGTTGGCAATCAATAGTATTGAAACAATTTTGTAATTTGGTCATTCAAACTCAAATCATGACTTCCAACTTGATTATGAGTTTGCTGAACAGATTGGTGATCATGGAATACATTTTTTTGGAAGCTTTTAAGAAGTGTACATAAGCACAAAGCTCATAATATTGTTCCCAATAATTTGCGCTATTGACAAAAGTAATTATTGCTTGTTGGTTTGGCCTTGCATTTTAGTAAAAAGCTAATATGGAATTTGGATCGTCAATTTACTACCCTGATATCTCCCACAGATAGGAAGAGCCATTAAGCTATAGTCTTTATTGAGGATTACCTGAGGTGGCAGTGCAAAGATTTTCTCTTAGAATTTACTACACCTTTTACTTGGAATTATGAACAGGTTCCTGGGATAACTGATCGGGGTCTGGTACCAAGACGAATAAATAAGGTTGCTATTCTCGGTGGAGGATTGATGGGCTCTGGAATAGCAACAGCTTTGATTCTTAGTAATTATCCGGTGATCCTGAAAGAAGTGAATGATAAGTTCCTACAGGCTGGTATAGGTCGAGTCAGAGGTGAGGCCAGAGTTTTTGTGTTTTAGATTTAGATTACATATTTTGCATTGGTTCTTCTAACTCAGATTCATTTATTTATATGCTTTCCCAAATTCTAATTAATTTTTCTTTTATTCAGCCAATTTGCAAAGCCGCGTCAAGAAAGGGAAAATGACTGAAGAGAAGTTTGAAAAAACCCTCTCTCTTCTCAAGGGTGTCCTTGACTATGAAAGCTTTAGAGATGTAGACATGGTCATAGAGGTAGTGCAGAATTATGTTAATCCAATTTGTCATTTTTTGGTTTCTACATTGATGAAAATCTTGAGAGTTTCTTTTTCTTGATGTTTCAATCAGGCTGTTATTGAAAATATCTCGTTAAAGCAACAAATTTTTGCTGATCTTGAAAAGTATTGCCCTCCGCACTGCATACTTGCAAGTAACACTTCCACAATTGACTTGAACTTGATTGGGGAGAAGACAAAGTCCCATGATCGGATTATTGGGGCCCATTTCTTCAGGTAATATCTGGTGTGACATCATGATAGTTTTTTCTTGTATTGTCCTTAATTAAACCGTTGGTTTTTGCTTGTGGTGCAGTCCAGCTCATGTCATGCCACTTTTGGAAATTGTGCGTACAGAGAAGACATCTCCACAAGCAATTGTTGATTTACTGGATGTTGGGAAAAAGATAAAGAAAACCCCGGTTGTAGTTGGAAACTGCACTGGATTTGCCGTTAACAGGATGTTCTTCCCTTACACACAAGCTGCCATTTTGCTTGTCGAACGTGGTGTAGATCTCTATCAGATTGATAGGGCAGTCACCAAATTTGGAATGCCTATGGGTCCATTCAGGTACACAAATTCGTTATAATATATTGTTTCGATAATGTGACGGTGACCAAATTTGGATGCTAAATTTTGGAGACCATTTGATATGTCACCACCAATGCATTGGTTTAATGGACCCCACCTTTAATGTCTTATACCACACATCAAATGATATCTAAAATTTGGTATGCATATTTGGTCACCATAGCATTATTGATATTGTTTTATGGTACCTTGATCTCATAGTTACTTCTTAATATAGTCTAATATGTTGCATTGAACTGGCTTTGTTATTTTGCTTTTATATGCAGATTGTGTGATCTGGTTGGCTTTGGTGTTGCAATCGCAACTGGTATGCAGTTTGTTGAAAATTTTCCAGAGAGAACCTACAAATCAATGCTAATCATGCTCCTGCAGGAAGAGAAGAGAGCAGGTAATATGTCCTGTACTTGGTTTTTCAGGTTGCTTTTTAAATCATGAAACAATATCTTAAACTCCTACGTCACTTGCTTCAGGTGAAAGTTCTCGCAAAGGGTTCTATATTTACAATGACAAACGCAAGGCACGCCCAGATCCTGAAATAAAGAAATTTATTCAGAAGGCAAGGGAGATTTCTGGTGTGAATGTAGACCCTAAGGTGTGTCTCTCTCTCTCTCTCTGGTTTATTACTAGTTGAATACTTTGGGTTGGGATTGGTGTTTCACCTGCATTGCCTAGGGGTGGGCTTGGGGCTGTGCAGTGGGATCTTATACTGTAGATGGTGGACAATACAAATTTACAACACATTAATATGTTGATTATTGAACAACAAGAAGTGTTAAATTTACTCTCTGATTTTAAGAGTTTTTCCTTACGAGATTATATGTCTCTATATTTTGTGAGATCTTTCTCTGATTTTGGTGGGCTTGAACTTTGATACAGCTGATGAAGTTATCTGACAAAGACATTGTGGAGATGATATTCTTCCCCGTGGTGAATGAGGCCTGCCGAGTCTTTGCTGAAGGTATTGCAGTCAAAGCAGCAGACATTGACATTGCTGCTGTCATGGGCATGGGGTTCCCACCTTACAGGTTTGTGGTTTCATCTGATTGAAGTGCATTTCCTACAAACCTCAAATAACTGTTGTTAGCGGTTTTGTTTGATCAGGGGAGGGATCATGTTCTGGGCAGACTCTCTTGGATCAAAATACGTTTGTTCGAGATTGGAAGAATGGTCAAACATGTATGGAGGATTCTTCAAGCCTTGTGCGTTCTTGACTGAAAGAGCTGCCAAGGGGGCTCCTCTGGTAAGATTTTTGAAGTTATTGTGTATCTAATAATTAGACCAATGAACCAATTGTCAATAGGTGATGCATCTTTAGTATCTGTTACCAAGATCATTCATGACCATGGTTGGATCCACTATTTATTCGGTGTTCCACTAGGAACTGCTGCTATAGTTATCCTCATGAGTAAGGAACTAAATTTCATTTCATTTCTATTGAAACAACTGAAATATGTCCATTTCCTAGGAAACCAAAATGAAAAATAAGTGAAATACTGAAATTCCAATGTTTACACCAGTATTACAAGAAATTACAAGAAACATTGGAATTACAAGAAATGACAACTTAATGTGTTGGAAACATTGTGTCCTGTATTTTTTGACTTGTAAGCGTCTCCATGTCGTATTGCATGCCTATGTCCATGCTTCTGGACTAAGGTTTGGTTCACTAAAATGAAGTGGAATGGAATGATCATTCCATCAAAAATCTCATTTGTATGTTTGGTTTGATTAAAAAGATGATGAAAAATATATTGTAAATAGAATTATCGTTTATCATTGTAAGAAAATGATCATTGCATAGAAGAGCCAAAAAAATGATTATTCCATCCCATCTCATTCTAGTGAACTAAATAGAACATTAGTTTACTGATTGCTTTTTTTTTGGCTGACATTCTTTCACTAACAAAATTTAGACCTGTTTGTTGCAGAGTTCTCCTGTGAAGCAAGCAAAATCTCGCCTATAAAACAATTTTCTGGTTGCGTCGTCGCCAAATTTAGTTGTTCTTGTCTCTCTCTTGCTTGCTTTTCTTTCCCTTTATTGATGCTGGAGAAATAATGTATGAGATGTATTTGGAACGGGAACATGATTGACACTTGAGAACTTAAAAGCAATAATGTGCTTGGTTTAAGTTTTCTGGATTAAATTTTTTAAAAATTGATTTTTTTTAGTTTTTGTGTTTTTTTGTTTTTAGTGAATATTTTTTAAATTTTAAACATTTTTTTTTTACTTTTTTAGATGCATCTTATTTAGATGTATCTAAAAAGTAAAAAATTTGTGAAAAAATATTTTAAAAAATTAATAAATACATAAAAATATAGAAAATGTATTAAATTTTTGTATTTTTTTTGTATTTTTGGTATTTAGTGAATTTTTAAAAGATTTTTTTTACAATTTTTTTATTTTTTAGATGTATTTATGTTAGAGGTGTCTAAAAAGTAAAAAAATTACTTAAAGTATTAAAAAAATTCAGTAAAAATAAAAAAAAATATGAAAAATAAGAAAATAAAATTTTTTGAAAAATATTTTGGAAAATTGGAAACCAAGCAAGGTGTATTTTTCTTGATCGTGAATCAATCTAATCTGTATCGGTATTCTTAGAAGTCAAATGGCTTCGTGTGTTTTATTGAACTGATTTTTTATTTAAGAAAAAGAAAAACCAAGAAAACAAAAAATAGTTTTTAAAACGTAATAACTATACAGGGTGAGGTTTTTTAGATTACTCAGTTGGACTTGGTTTGCGTACAACTCTATTATACTAAACTAATAATAAATGTTAACTAAGGGTGTGGAGCGGATATATTGATCTGACTTAATTGATCCGATTCATTATATTTTGGACAAATACGTGATGACGAGTGGATAGTTACGGATTGATTTTTTTAATCCGCCTAGTTTTAGACGAATAGTGGATTTAAGGTTTCTTTGGTCGTAATTGAACCGTCAAATTGTAAACATCTCTAGTAATTTGTAAGATAAGTTTTTAATTTGTTTAAATATTTTGTTTGTGTTTTTAATTAAAAAATAGTTTAAATATTCTATTGAATATATTCTATTAAAAAAGAGTTTTTAACTTGAATATATTTTTTGAATTAAAAAAATAAATGTATTATTTATCTATATTTTTTGGTTTTTAAATCTAATTTTAAAAACAATAAATAAAAAAGATGATATATGTTAGTGGATTTTTGTTTTCAAAAACAGATATAAATGTAACAATACATAGTCATACAATCTCTATTGCTTATTGCTATTCTGTTCATGGTTTTGATGGTTTGAATTATTTTTATATTTTAAGAACCACAAATTATAATACTTTATATGGATGAGGTATACTGTGATTATAATATGTAAATAAAGTACGAAATAATATTTTAAAGTTTTAAACTTTCTTTCTTTGATGATGCATGCATTGATTGTAATATTTTTTAAGTCATTGACTGTAATATTTTTTTTTTGTTGAAAAAGTGCATAAATTGAATTATATTGAAAATTTATAAAATTTTAAATCGCCAAACCGATTCGCATCCATCCGCCAATCCTCTCCATCCAAATCCATTGGATTGGCAGACGAGTGCGGATTGATTTTCTTCAATCCGACAATTTAACGAACGGATAGCGAATTAAAAGTTTCATGATCGCAACCAAACTGCACCCATCTTAACTAGTGATTGGCTTTGTTAAAGTAGTTAGTATAAGATCAATTTTAAAAATAAATAAAATAAATTTAAATACATTTAAAATTTTATAATTTTTTTAAATTAAATTTAATCAACTTATTTTTAAACTTAAGTGGATTTGTTTGGGTCCTAGTTCTTAGGGTAATGTGAAAAGGGCCCAATAAGTTATTGAATAAATAGAATTTCAACAAACTTAAATCATTGTGGGGTTATCTTCTTTAATAGAACAAACTATTAAGAGCTCATTTGACATAAAAAAGTCAAAGTTTTTTTTGATTAAAATATTCATAAAAAGATAAAATAAATTTCTTAGTTTAATAAAATAAAATATCACATTTAACTCATAATTATTTTATTTTTTTCTCATAAAAGTCAAAAAAATATTCTAAACGAGACTTTTTAACCCTAAATTTAAATAGTCAAAATTAGCATAATCATGATTGATTGTGGCTGCACATCAACCAGCCACCGTTTGCGTGTGTTACACACACAACATGCTAGTTATGAATGAGGAAGTAAATGTAAAGAAAAATGTTTGGGGGCCCTAATTCTGTGGCTCAAATGTGGCTCAAATGGCCAAAACGACGTCGTTTTGGTCATTTTGATGTTGTTTTGTACTCAAAACGACGTCGTTTTGGTCATTTGAGCCACATTTGAGCCACAGAATTTGGGCCCTCTACCATTGCTCAAATGTAAATTAGTGTCACCAGGACACAATTTCTATTGGAATATATATTTTACTTACATTCCATTAATTTATAAATATTTTTAAATTTTTTCTATTTATGTGATATTTTTGAAAATATTAATTGACCATTTCAATATATATACATATAACATTAATATTAGATGAGTATAAAAAATATCATTATTTACAAAGTGTTCTCAATTATTAAAGTTGCAAAAAAAATTATGAGCAAGATAGTACTGACCCATATTTGTTAGGATTTTGAGAAATAATGAAATCGAACCTCATGGGTAATGCATACATGACATTTTGTGACAGCCATAATTTTTTATTTTTTATTTTTTATTTTTTTTATTTTTTATTTATTTATTTTTTTTTTGGGAAAAGGAAAAGACAAAGAAAGAAAGAAAGAAAGAAATGAGATAAAACAAAGAAACAAGGGCAATTGTAGATCTCAACTCATTGCTTGAGGTAACTTGCCCAACCATGTCCGCTACCACTTGACCTCTAATTTCTTCAGGTGCCTCCTCCATAACCACTAGAGGTTCAGCTTGATTAGCTCCCATCTTTGCAAGACCATCAGTACTTTTGTTGCCTTGGCGCAAAACATGCTGAATGGTGCAACTACATCTTTGCATGAGGATCTTAGAATCCTCGACCAGGCTTCTTAATGAAGAAGATACCACATATCCTTCTTTTAGCAACTCAATGGCAGAGGATGAATCAGTTTCGATAGTGAGGCCTTTGAACCCCTTCTCAAATGCTATAGTTAAGCCTCGGTAAATTGCTCTTAGCTTTGCCTCCAAGATTGTACATACATCAAGCTTCTCTTAGTAACCAACGAGCCAAATACCTTTCTCATCGTGGATGAGACCACCAAAGCCACCTTCCCTTGGGTCCCCTTTTGTGCTACCATCAGTAATCAATTAATAACCATATCATATTTAGTATGATGAATAACAAACGGTCTAAACGCTTCTTTGATATTAGAAGCATATTTACACAAAAACAAAATACTTTGATACCATGGAAGTTCAACATTTTCAAAAACTTTTTTGTTGCAATCTTTTCAAATTTGCCAAAGAGTAGAAGCAAAAAGAGTAGGACCTAATTTAGAAGAATGTTTGTTCTCCAGATTGATTCCAACCAATTTGACAAGGGAATGTGACGATCCCTAGACAGTCACTTCAAACAACCCAGGTTCCTCCAGATAACAACTACTTTAGGACAGCTCCTAAAAATATGGTCAATATCCTTCAATTGATTATCACATCTGCTACACTCAGCTGAGTTAGTAAGACCTCTATTAACTCTTAGGTTGTTTGATAGTAGCTTGCCATGCAACGCAAATCACAGAAAGTCCTTAATTTTTTGAGGAAATTTCAAACTTCCACAACCAAAGCTACTTATCAGTTTCTTTCTCTTGATTGGCAACAATTTCATACACTGAAACCGTGAAAAAACCAAAACAACAAGAACCATGCCAATGAAAGATATAAGGTAAGTAACATATCTAGGTAAAGGTTACTTTGAGAGCAAATTCAACAGCCTCCCTAGAAAGTTTTGAATTCAATTTATTAATATCCCAATCACCTCATAATTTTTCGAGCATAACAATCATGTCCTTTTCTATAAATTTGCAGCTTCCTTGCAGATCACCTGATCACATGATCACATCAATAGTTTTTGTACGAGCACGAAATAATGTTCTCGTATAATCTTGTTGATCAAGTCTGCACTCCTCCAAATATTGTCGCTTTACTCCCTGAAAACACAAACGTGGGCTAGCTGGCGGGTGTGTGCCGGATACCTCTCCAATGCCTAAGTCAACCAAAATAGACAAATAGACAAAAACTCTATGTATTTGGGAATCAAAGTTGTGTTACCTCTACATAGGTTATGTTGTGAGCTTTTATAGTTTTTGCTTGACACAATCCGAGTAAGACTCTTATTCCTCCACGTAGAGTCTTCCTAGGAATCACACTCTTGAAAGATAATATTTATCATTCAACACCTCCCTCACTGCTTAAACCAAATGAGATGGTTTTGTTTCGGTTGGATGAAAGTATGACCGAGATAACACTAGCACTTTGTCATACTTAATCCAGCGCCTTCACATGCAAGTCATAGCTCGGCTCTTGTTCACTTGTACCTCGGTTTTGTCTGTTGAGACCGAGCTAACTATAGCAAGCTTTGATTGCACTAACCAGAGTAAGGTCCACCGCAAGAAGCCATAATACCTCGGCTCCGAATACCATGACCGAGCTAATTATCACCACTCCGACCGTGGTGACTGCAATCATACTTCGACCGAGCTAACACTAAGGTCCATTTACTAAGCCCTTTTCACCATGGCCCATAGAACGGCCTATTACTACACCTGGGCTTAGCTCGTCCCTAATGCTCATAAAAACTCCCTCTCAATTGCCCCTTAATTCCATCTGCGTAGCATGATTGAGATTATTTGTTACCAGCTGAGCTAAAACTTCAGATCTTCAACCGAGCTAAATTGTCACTGGGCTACCAATTTGTCCGGTCAAAAAAACGTCTCTTCAGTCACGCTGTACATCTGAATCGCTTGCTATTCCATAGATACGTGGCTGGCCCCTACTGGTTGAGTACAGCTGTCAACGCCGCCCTCGTACTCTGAAATTTTTGAACAGTCTCGCCTTTTCTTTGCCTTATACGAAAACCCTACATTTTGAACCAACCACTTTTACTATTCATCTCCTCTCTCTTGTCTGTTTGAGCCTCAATTTTTGTAACC